TTTTTGCCTTCCACTTTATGGCTCAAGCGTGATTACACAATAAACAGTTAAAATCTTTATATTTAAAAGGTTGAACGACAATAATCCATTTACCTGGCAGCTGGCTTCAGGGATGAAGGTCAAAGGGAACTTGCTTTTCTGGTTCATCATCTTCACGGGCTTAGAGTTACTCTGTAAACAAAGAGAAATCCAACAGGATAAACTCGCAACACTGTTACAGATAGATCATTAAAAAGAAGATTGTGAATCTTAACTTGTATGAATTTAGTACAGCTACTTTCTTTCCTCTGGTGTGCCTACTATTATATAGTTGCTAAAAAGTTTTGCCATAAAATATGGAATATTCAGCTTCAAGCCTTTTGAGCTGATCTCTGTCTATAGGACTAATATGTCAATGCACAAAACAAACTATTTGTGTTTGATTTAGCATGATGGAATCTTTAAAAAAAAAACGAATATTGTTATTATCGTAATTATTTTACAGAAACTCACTCAAAGAAATCTTAGTAAATTGTCCAACAGCTGTTATTCAATTAAGACGCTTCCAAAACTAAGAGCAATATAGAGTTTTCCTCCATTGTGTAAAATATAAGTACTTTCTGAATGATTTAGATATCTCCCATCGAGCTTTCTTTGGCCTTTAGTTTTCAGTAAACAATATGAACATAGCGCTGAGCACTTCATTGTCATCAATTTGTTTCTCAGCTCTGTAAAATTATGACTTTGTTTTTCCACTGATCTTATGATTTCCGTGGATTTTCCCAAGATACCCATTTTCATTCCTGGATGACTCCAACCCCCCGACACATTGATTTCTGCCTCGATGTGATTTTTTTTTTTTTAAGCCTACCACATTTTCGACTTTTGGATGTACCTTCACTTTTAGTATGGATCCTTCGCATTGTTTTATAAAGCTGTTGGATTTTGAAAGGTATTCATGTTCACCTTGGTGAGCCTGAACTGAGCGTCGCGTGTGGCACTCTCCTGAAACTTCTTGCTCCAGCTGCCTTTGAAGTAGATGGCGTTGACCAGCACCAGCCTGGTCAGGTTGCCCAACACGCCACTGGGCAGTAAATCCTTAATTTTACCTGATGAGCAAAATGTGTTCACATATGAAAGTTCTGAAGCATTTCTGATGCCCTTTATCATGTTTACTGTGTTCCGTTGACATTTTCCGGCCTTAATGGAAAGTTAATACACGACAGTTATCAAGGTAAATAGAGATTTTGTAGTTTTTGTTGTCCACCTTGTGTTTGGTTCTCCACCCAGCCGTTGATGTTAACCCTGGCTGCTTCTGAGCTTTTGATGAAATCCACCGTCTCCAGCTCTGCATTATAGTGCTTTCTGGTCTTTCCTAGGAAATCCTGAAACCAGTAAACACTTCTTTACAGACAGAATTGTATTCTGACAATCTCCCTTTAGCCTGTTGTATTTTTTCCCAAAGGTTTGCCCCTCTTTCTTTCATAAAAAAACCACACCCACGATGGTGAAACAGACATACCTCAACAAACTGGAAAGACTGCTCTCCGTACAGCCTGTTGGCGACACTCAGAGCGTACGGAGCGTCTGACTTGTTGAGCTCGGACAGAAGCTGAGAAAAGCTGCTGTGAAGCTCATCCTGACATCCCTGCGTTTTCAGGACCTGTGGAAAAAGTCAAGTTATGTGTCAAAGATCTCAAATATTGCATATCAATCACGCTTTAAAAGCTAAAGCATGTTTGCATTTACGTCCGATTGAATTTTTTTTGTTCCTGTAAAATGACTTTCTTTGACCTAGTTTGTCGTGAAAGAAAAATTGGAAGAGTTGGAGCATCTGAAATGTGGATATTCAAATGATATCGTTATACTGCACTGAACAATATCACATGATGTTTGGAATGTCAATGGAGAGATCTACAAGTTCTCTGAAAAGATTGGGGTTGTGGAAATTATTGTTTTTTTTATTGCAATCTCAAATCTTCTTACAATCCAACACAAATCATTTCAAAGGTTGAAATGATTTGTGGAAGAGTTTCAGAGCTGATGGAGACATATTCATAATCGAATTGCATCCATTTTTTCTGCAGTTGAGATTAAAGCTGATGAAACCTGGCACCAATGACTCATTTTCAGTCATTTTCTTGTGCTCAAACATGCCTCCAGTCCTTTAATCTTTCGATGAAATTTACAATAGATGATTAAACACTTGTGTACTCTGTAATTTCACACCTAGGAACACGATTGGAAAATTTCCTCAGAATTTGTAGTGAGAGGTGTCTATAGATTGCCTAATCTCTGCCAATTTTTCCAAGATTCAATAAAGTATTATTCTTTTTTCAGGCCTTTTGTTGAGCCCACTCCAATGGTTTTGACTTTTTTAATAAAGTGTTGAAATGTCTAAATGTGTTAATTTCCTGTGTTTTGTTTTGAATACCGTAAATAATTATTCAGGAGATTTACGAAAACACTGAATAATTTTTGCATTGTACACAGCCTCCCAACCTATAAAAACAGGAGAGTTTAAAATGTATTAACTTAGATTTTTGTCATTAGTTAATGGATAAAGTGGCACATTGTGTACTGCAACAGTTAGATTTAACAGTAAAACAGAATGATTTGCTGAAAATAAATAAGAAAAGAACAGGTGAAAAAAAAGAGCCCATTTTATACCTTCAATAAAAGAACCCACATCCCAAAAGCTAACGAGTCTTCCCATAAATATAAACAGAGTTATAAAGCAACATGCTATCCTTTCCAAAAAGTCCAAAAATGTCAAGATGATTTTTTCTTCATCTCCTCTGTGCATACTGTGCATCCGCAGCATTTCAGCACACAGAAAATAACACAGGGTGCTTTGTTGCATTGCAGTTTTTACCCCGATGTTAAAGTTAAAGACCACAAGAAGAGAACAGAAGAGAACCATCATGATGTCAAACTGTGGAACCACCGCCTTTTTGTTTCCCGGGAACCCGTCACCACAGACCACCACCCAGCGCCCCTGTTAGTAACGCGTGCCCCCGTTAGCACGGAGCCTCTTTATTACTGGCTTTGTCACCACCTTCAGAAAGTTTGGCAGTCTGGAATGAGCCTGCTGTTGCATCTGCATCTGCTGTCCTCCTGCTTTCTGCGCCTCCTCTGCCTTTGTGAAGCAGAGAACCTACGGGTGCAATTGGTAGTGACCGCACTGAAGTTAGACCTCATTTCATAAAGTGTACAGTTAGTCGTGGTACCAGTAGTGTGTGGACTGGGTTGCGTTCTGCAGGCACTGCACACTTTAGTACCCTCCAGATTTCCTTTTAATCCAGGGTTGTTATCCAAACCTAAGTGGATAAGTCCAGTGTTTGCTTATCAAGCTTCAAAAGTAGTCCACCATTACATGCCATCAGGACGTCCTTTTGACAGGCTAGTTGCATTGAAAAGGGAATGAGTGAACTCGGATCTCATGAGTTCAGGAACAGAGAATGACTCTCCGTTACCGTGCGGTTTCCACTTAAAAACTAACAAACAAAATAAAAAAGCTGCTAGTATAGATTGAACAGTGAAGATAAAATTTAAATAAAATGTCTGCATGGCTCAACGCGTGCGATGATGACAAACTGCCGCAGCCGGTTCGGGTTTCCCTCCAAAACCATGATCTTTATAGCTTGTGATTCCCATCTTAAGGACACACACAAAGTTAACAAAACAAAACGTACATTTATTTAAACATGGACCGTTTAAAAAAAAAAAAACTCCAGTATTGCATGACATTGAAAAACAGAATAATTGACAAAATTGCTCATTAGTTCCAATGATATATATCCTGGTATTTGTCTAGAGCCATCTTTTTAATGACCTTTTAAAATGCTAACATATGGAGTATTTTAGAAGAGGTGCAGGGTGCACTAAGAAAACATAATATTTCTATTATGAAGTGATGAATGTCAGTATCAGTTACACTTCTGAAGCTGTACACAGTCAGATATTAGATCATTGAAGTTGATATATAAGTCTTAATGATTACATCTTGGAACTAGCTCTCTAGGTTGATTAAACAAATCATGCATGCATTATTCTGATAAATGTTAAAGATAAAGTTTTTTTTTAGAAGTACTAATACAAAAAAGTACAAACACTAATGGGAAATGTGTATAAAACTGTGCAATGATTATGACCAGATGCAATTCAGCCCATTTCCCAACTCTACTGAATCACTATACAGATAGATAGTTTCAGTAAAATCTTATGACCTCTCACAGTTACTCATGGTGCCAAATTCCCATCTATTTGCTTGTGCAACAGCTACCAAAACAGGCTTTAACTAGTCAAACTTCAAACAAACTTATTCTTGACACTAACAGAATAAAGCTTGCCAATGCATGCGGTATCTTCTACTTAAGTTCCAATAAATGCATTATTATTCTAAGTCTTAAGTCATAGTTTCTAATGAATGGGGTTGTTACTCAAGCCCGGGGTCAGGTCAGATAATGGGCGAGGCAGTTCCCTCCCATGTAAGTCATCCACACTGACTTGACTTAACTGGGTGTGGTGTCACTTAATAAAAACTTGACACAATCCTGTCTTAAAGTGTCAACTTCCACAAAGATTGGAAAAAAAGGAAAAAAAACACTGCATTATTCTGGTTGGCCTCGGAAAAACTCACTACAAGAAGAAGCTTTTGGTAATGGATTTTACAGTATGCTGATATCTGTTTCTTAGAAAGTTACTATAGGGAGTTAATGTTTAACTGCTGTATCCATAAAACAAGTCCCACAATGTGTAAAGGACACACAGTTTATTCCCTAAATGTAACTGCTGTCCTAGTTTAAATTAAAAAGGTAATAAATGGTAAAACCTTTATCGTACCAGAAAATGTACTCTGTTGCAATGCACTGCTTGAGTATATTTCAACAGATCTTTATTGTTTCTATATTATTTATCATATTGCCATAGTAACAAAGAACAAGCCTGGTCCTGATAAAACCCCTGACAGAGTTTGAGCACGACTGACAATTTCTGCTGACACGGGAAGATAAAGCCAATGACTCATGGACTTTCACACCTATCCATATCTATCTTTCACTGTGTGGCGTTTTCCTGATCGCGTCTTTATGAAATGTGACCCTGTAAGTGTGAGCAAAGTCAGAAACAACTTAAGCTGCGCTATCGTACTGCTGTCGTACAGAAGGACAGTCGGTGTTTAAATGAGGTTAAGCAGTACCTCTGACATCTGGGTGGCCGTGTTGCCTCTGGCCCCCAGCATCACCATAGCCAGGGCTGAGGAGATGCTGAACGGGGAGTAGAAGACATTTGAAGTCTTGTCGTTATCACCCAACGTTTTGAGCAAAGCCAAGGAGAAGCTGGTGTTGGCCTTGGCTAGAGGGGTAAATGATTCCATTGTGCCTGTGGAAAGGGATGTGTACTAATCACTGACTTGAATAAAATGTTCTACTTCTCTTTTTGGATCACACTCCACAGTTGAGCCACATGTCACACACAGTGGAAATCTGCACACAACGAACTGGTGTACATATATGAATCCAAGGTTTGTCATTTTTTCAAAATGTATTGATCAATTAGAATTTTCTATAGAGTAATGCACATCTTTGTTGATGTTTATACGACTTTAAGACATTGAGTTACACTGGAATGCCGTAAAATAATCTGTCCAAATAGTAAAAAAGGTCTTACACTACCTTCCCAAATACACACAGATTTAAATGTAGAAAATAGTAAGAGATTTAAAAGGACTTTTTACCTTCAACACTGAGCCCTGTCCTGTATCTTACCATTTCCGTATAATTTCTGTAAAAATAATGCTTACCTGTTGATTTATTCCTGTTACACCAGCCATTCACAAACATAATATTTCAACCTCTCTACTGAGTACGACATATACTATACTTACTGACGGTCTTTTATTCCTTCAATCCTCTGGAAAAGCTTGTGATTTCTTTAGGTTCAAACGACACAGTCACTTAGACGCTCCAGTATTTATTTATTTGGTCGAACTGACACGCCCCAAAACCTGACAGACATGGGAAAATTACTTCCGTATCTAGTAGCTGTACGGAAGCCGATAGTAGGAAAGATCTCAAGAATAATCACAGCGACCGCTGCGCATGTGCGGGATGTAACGAGCAAACCACATGCAGGGATTCCGCGGAGGTTCCCGTGAATAAATAGGTTATAACATCAATGACAATAAAACTCACACTCAGTCTCCCTTTCTCTCTCTATATATATTTTTTTTTTTCTTTTTTTGTGGCAGGTTTAATGATAACGAACTTGACACGATGCACATTGACGTGTTGCCGTTGTTACCGAATACACAAGAAAAATAAATCAATTAATTCAGTCACTGTCCATGTTGATAGTAGTAGTGCTAATTGCATACTATTTCAGGGGAATTTCGCACAAAAACCAGCAAACAAAACTGTTACTATTGGTTTCTGTTCTCTACGTTTAGGATAGCGCCCTCTAGCGAATGTTGTTAAGCACTGACTTAGCTCATGTTAGAGTTCAAGCAAGCTAACAGAGAAGGACGAGGAAGGAATGCGGCGGACAAACAGCAAGAGGACAATCGGGTATCCGGTTTGATGTGTGTAATGAAATAAACTCAGAAGGACACGGATACTGGAAGCGCGGCGGTAGGCAAAATGTTTACTTTCAGCCAGAGTCATCTTTTCTGTGTCCACGCATGCTTTTGCTCATAGCTTGCAAGCTAACGTGTGCTTAATGGCAACATATTTCGGTGTTGTGAGAGGGATGGTGGACACGTTGGAAAAATTAGTCTGTTACAGCTTGACTCGTTTAATTCTTGTCAGAAAATTAGCTCGGAAAAGGGATTGGGAATTGTCTGTTATGTGTTTGGAAATTGTTCGCCGTTCGAAACGAAGGTTTTATTTTAAGCGACTATTATTTAGATCGATTTCATGTTAGCTTACTTGGGAGTTGTTGGGAATAGTAACCGTGTGTAACTAATTAACACCGGCGTTAGCTGTTGCTAGCTCTTGCTGTGAAAGCTGTATATGTATACAGTTATTACCACCAGGCAAAAAAATATAATTTCTGTCGAAGCTAGCGTGTTAGTGTAATTATAAGTTACTTGTGTGCTTTGTTAGGGGAAAGTCGGCTTTCGTCGCCTCTTAATTAATGGAGTTCACGAGGCTCTGGGAAAACGTCCCATACGGCAACTCGGTTCCGATATATTACCAAACGCTCGATATGTAGTTGGAAAAAATACCATTAAACAGGTAAGGACGAAGCGTTGCGTGTTTGTTTTGTTAATAGGTCGGCCCCTGTCCAAATTTTCCTGTCATGTCTGACCAAAATAGAAGCGTCAGAAGAGAAGAGTCAGTCAGGAGGGGGTTATTCATTCGCAGGATTCGATACAACACGACGCAAATATGTCTTTACACGTTCATTGCTCTGGATATGAGCCAGTAGAAACCTACTGTAGCTTTCAAATGTGGCTCCACGGCTGCTCCGGGGGGCTGGTCTCTGATAAGGAATTAATGAGGACGCTTGATAGGTGGCTGCCTGTCTCGCAGTGGGAGCTGAAATCGATTTCACGGCCCGTTTTCTGTAACTTAAACGAACTTGTGGCTCAGTCCTCGCTTGTCTGGAGCCGAAAATAGCGGCCAATTCATGTTTGCACCTTTCTATGGAGTTACCAGCACTTCCTTAAGTTGGCGTTTGCATGATACACAAATTGATTTAAAAATAATGATGACCGGTTTATTGTAGTAAATAATTCATCTGCTTTTTCATTTGGTGCCTTCAAACAGGGTTAATGTTTGCGACAAGGCCACATTTGCATCAGCTTAGTAGGAATTTGTTAGATTCTGTAACCTTTATTGGTTCCATTTGAATCAGTATATCAATTTTAAACTTGTTTTGGTTTTTTTCAGGGCCTTCAGAATCTATGTCTGCTGTCACTAGAAAACTGCCAGGACTAGGCCAGTGTTTGGTGTAAGAACCCTCATCGACAGCTGCAGTGGCGGGGCAGGAGCGCGTTTCTCAGGAAGATGGCATCACCCTTCGTGCCTGTCCCAGTCCCCATGGACAGAACCTTGTCAGGTGGCAGCAACAAGCTGCGGCGGCCAAAGCGAGCCGCGTCTCTGGGAAGTGTCTCCAGTAGCTCGGAGTCCTCGTCCCCCGTCGCCAGGGCCGCTGGGGAGGAGCCGGACGGAGGACTGGGCGCTCAGCGTCAGTCCCGCTGCACGGGCAGAGCCCCCCGCAGCCAGACCCCGCCAGCCCTCCACAGCCCGGGGACCCAGGCCAGGGTCAACGGGACGCTAGAGCCCTCAATGGAGTACTCGAGTTGCCCTCGCTCGGCATCCGATCCAGCAGGGAGCCAGCAGGAAGAGGAGAGGCCCATCACCCCCACCGTGTTGGGGTACGAGGTCATGGAGGAGAGGGCAAAGTTCACGGTATGACCAGAGGGACAGAATTTGTCTGCACAACATGCCATTTAAAAAAACTAATTTGGCAATATTTAGCCTTCTGATGGACTAGTTTGACAATTTATCCAAATATTTAAAACTTTTCAAAAACAGTATTCTTATTTTTACACGTACTAAATTGCGAGAGCATATATAGATTTAAAAAAAAAAAAGACACTTTGCTTCAGTTTAGTCCAACCAAACTAGTTTTTCTCTGTCTTTATATTTGTCCTAGTTACAAAATTTCAGCCCACTTTGTTTGAGTCAACATCTCTAATGATTAGAGAAATGTTAAAGCCTCTTTTTCTGTGCTCCAGGTCTATAAGGTCTTGGTCAAGAAGACCCCGGATGAGAGCTGGGTGATTTTTAGGAGGTACACCGACTTCTCCAGACTCAATGACAAGGTATGGAGGGGGAGTTTTATTTTTTTTCTTTCTCTTTTCCCTTTTTCTCAAGTCTATCTGAACCAATTGTGTTTTTTTTTTAATCATCCTCATAGTTCATCCTGTGATGTTGTCAGCCATTTGCTCCCGTTGTGTTGTGTTTTGTTCTTGAGCACACAGTGGAAGCGATTAGAGCCGCACAAAGAAGCCTACTGTTCCCAAAGGCCTGAGCCAACTAGGTGAAGAGTTCTTTTGTGTTTTTGCTTATGTGGAACAAAGAACCTGCCAACAGACAGGAAAAAAAGTCAAATCTTAACAATGGTATGCCCAATTATATTGTATTCAAAAGCAGCAAACTGCAATTAAAACAGAGACATCAGATTTGAGAACTTGTTCTTACAGACATAGCATTAAGAATTCTACCAAGTTTGTTACTACCTGAACCTCATCTGAATATTTGCTTAATTTATGTATATTTTACTAAATGTCATCAGCATTGATATTAAGATCACCGTCTATGATTTTTGGTACAATATTCTGTTGAAATTTGATAAATTGGGCCTAACGCTCAGTATGTTAAGATCAGGAACATATTTCTGCATTACATGTGGTAAATAACCTTTTTTTTTTCTTTTTCAATCCCACAAATCTGACTCCAATTAAACAAACACACTTAACTGAACGTTTTTAAAAACGTACGTTAAGAGTTGTTGGGAGTTATGTATGAAGCATTGATTTATGATATTTATTTGGGCCCATTTCCTTTGAAAGAAAACACAAATACTCACAAAAGAGCACCCTGTTATTAGAAACGGCAGCTCAGATTCCACTGTGGCATCATCTGCTGTTCATGTTGCTTGTGTTGATATTTGAGCCTCCAGAAGCCTCCGTCTGTATAGTGTAGCAAAGTGTGCAAACATCCAGACAAAACCACTGTCCGCTTCCTGCCAAGAATCCGATATCAAATTCTGTCATGTGCTCTGTTTCCTGATGTTTTCAGGTCCTTCAGTGTTTTCTTACAGTAGATGGAGGTGGGCGGTCGGTGTCCTCGGAAATGGAAATTTATTTGGAAACCTGTAGTTTCGCTGTGTGCGTTCTCTGTGTTGCACTAGTTTTCTAGTTTACACTTGGGGAAGATTCAGCTGTTAACAGCTTTAAGATTGAAGGGCAGCTACTCTGCTAATAAGGCCAGGGATCGTGGAAGGCGTTATCAGAGGAAGTGAAACACCATCATGTCCTCAAACAGCTGCCCAGGACGTTCAGTGTTTTACTCACCGTTAATGCTTGTTGCTGCACCTTTCTCTTTCTTTGTGCCGCAGCTGCTGTGGCTTTGTGCGAGAGTGCTCACGTGGCACTATGTGTGTGTTCTCTTTAGCTAAAGGAAATGTTTCCCGGCTTCCGCCTCTCACTGCCTCCCAAAAGGTGGTTCAAAGACAACTATGACAGCGACTTCCTGGAGGACAGACAGTTGGGACTTCAGGCCTTTTTGCAGAATTTGGTGGCACACAAGGACATAGCAAACTGGTATGCAAAGCTGTCACCATGTAGTTTTTTATAGTTGAACTGTAGCCCTTTGTTGATTCTGTTTAGCAAAGCAACGCCTTAGTAAGTGATTAGTGAAGTACTGCGTGTAAAACAGTCATTTATATGGCTAAATGTTCCCAAAGAAAGGGAAATAATTCCAATAGCAGTCTTTAGTGTGTTCATCATATCAGCTTAACATGGAATTATGTTATTGTTATTCCATAATCGGCCCATTTCGAGTATTTCTTATTGCTGAAGAGCTCCTCATTGTGTTCCAAACTATGTTTCAGCCTGGCTGTAAGAGAGTTTCTGTGCCTTGATGACCCCCCTGGGCCTTTTGATAGTCTTGAAGAAAGCAGGGTGAGTACACACACTCGTGGACGTATACAAGGCTATGGGTACTCAGGATATTGGAACTGAATACTGAATGTATATATATATATATGCTTGAATAAGACACAAAAAAGGATCAAGATCGAGAAAAGGAAAGGAAATAAATAGAAACTTACCTCCTTTTATTGCAAATGAACTCGGGCCTTTTGAGTATCTATAGTAGAGGGAATTAGAGAATATTGCCCATCTGTCTTGAAAATGTCTGCATGAATTTGTATGTCGCTCAAAGGTAAAAAGCACACCTGTGTCCCATCAGAAGGGGTTAAGAACAGTTCAAACCCGGAAAGCAATTCTCTAAAAAGCATAAAATGATTGACTTGCTTTGGAGAAGAACTCGGCAGGAGATCGTCTCCTCTGTGCGAAGATATACATGTCGGCTTCCTCCGGACGAAAATCCACGCAGAGGCCCTGCAGCTTTTGTCATGGATGCCGAGTTCAGTGTGCGACTCTGGAACCTGGCTTTGGACTCACTTGCATTTCCAATGCTTAAAGAATTTGGCCGTATTCATAGCAAACCACTACAGAATTTGGGAAGCCATTGGTTTCTCTGTGTCCTAGAAGCATTTCTCTCCTTTAATTAGACCTGGAAATACGGATCTTGTGGTAACATATGATGCAGAGGGAGATACCAGACACACATCGGGTATCATGATGTTCATTTTGTGAATTACAAACAGCACCCATGTAAACAACTGTTAAAACAAGGGTCCTGAGTTCTAAATTTTGTCCTAGCCAGAAAATGTTTCACTCTCCAAATGCCTTTTATAGGTAGAAATGAATAAGGTTACCAAGTAATTAATTACAGTTCATCTTAAATAGATGGACCGTAGTACCTGTATTCAAGAAGGTTTTTACATCCAAATATTTTATGTATGCCTATGTCTGTAAATGAATGTCAGCAGGGTTTGGGGTTTCTCTCTGAACTGCCCCGCTGTTCTCTGCTTATGTTGGGGCTCCTTTTAGGCATTCTGCGAGACACTGGAGGAGAGCAACTATCGCCTACAGAAGGAGCTTGTGGAGAAGCAGAGGGAGATCGCTTCCTTGAGGAGGAGGCTGGAGGAGCGGGAACAGGCCATCCTGCTGCTGGAGAGGCACATCAAGTCCGTACCGGCCCACAGAGCCAGCCAGGGTTCACACACTTCTGGGCTTACGGGCGCGATGGGCTCGTGTTGATTTTGTTGCGGTGTGCGTCTGTGGCAGTGGGGAGTGCGCGAGCCCGGTGTCTCCGTGCGGCCTGTCGGCTCAGGGCAGCGAGAGCAGCGCCGACGCCGACGTGGAATCGTCCGCCGCAGAGGCCGACCAGGAAATGCCCGACGACGCCGGGTAAAAGACGGGTTTTCTATTAGGGATAATGAGGGGAAATGTGCTCATGCGGAACGAAAGAAAATGAAACGTAGACTAGAAGCTTTTTAATTTACTGCTTTCATATATTTAAAAGAACATCTAAATGGAGAAAAACAGGCATATACCTACATTTAAGATGAAAACAACAAACAAAAAAAAAACACTGCGGATCTACAATAAAGAGCTCAGTGAACAGTGATCAATAAGGCTCGGCCAGTGCAGGTTTTTCCCTCTTAGGCCTCTTACATCTAATTAAATTAAAAAGGAGTAACTATTGATTTCCAAACCGGCCCCGTTTTCCAGCAGGATTACTGAACATCACTGAATCTCTGCAGCAAAAAGCACGAACACAATAATCCAGAATAAATGTGAACACTTTCCACATACTCTGCTACAGCAGGGGAGGGTTATCATAGCCATACATTAAAATTTTTAATAAATAAATAAGATTAACGTTATCATGAGGATGGGGATTAGCCTTTGGCATGAAGCCACTGGTATTTTTTTCAGGGGGAGGTGGGAAAAAAAGGGAAAAAAGGAAACAATGGACACAAATCAGCTAAACAGTAAAGGGTCTTTAAAAAAGTCAAACAAACAAAATGCATATTAAGAAAGTAACTAGCTGCTGAACAGAAACAAACTGACCGAAATCAGCGAACAAAAATACTTAAGTCCTGGCTGATCAAACCAGTTTGACATAAGAAGAAAAGCTAGATACTTTTAAAAAAAAAATTATGGATTGATAAACTAATTGTAATGAAATTAACAATGAATCATTATTAAGATAGTTTAACAGTTAATCAAATTAATCATCACACAAGAATAAGAATCAACAGCGCACTAGGTGAAAATGTAACTGAAATTAAAAGAAAAAATTAGAGAATAACATTTTATTTGGGTGACACACTTATTGGTACGACCAATCAGACCTGTGCAGTTTAGCTAAATGAACATCACATTTGATATGTGTGTGAAACGTGTTAAAGTGCTTAACTAATTGTTTATTGAACAGTTTCGAGACCAAACTTTATCTGTGAATGGGGTTAAAAAAAATACAGAACAATGGCAATCATCCTTGTTTCTGTCAACATTATTGTTGTACTCTTGATTTTGGTTTCCCCTCTAAAATGTTTTCCCCCTTTCTTTGTTTTAATTCATTTTCTCAATTTTATTTTTACTTGCTTATTTCTCAGCAGCCTGGTCCCAATCTGAAAAAAAAGGGCTTCATAACATGGAAGGTACTGCAGCTCCCTGCTCAGCGGGCTAACCACAGGCAAACTGTCAAACCTTCATATTGTCCCTACAGTAACCGTGCGGTAAAAACGTCTCGTTTTGTGATGTCAGCGTGTTTGAAGGGATGGCTTCAGATTCTTCTCGTCGCGTCCGCCTCCATACACGTCTGGCATGCTTCCATGTGCCTGCCCTTAGCGGTTGCATCTCCTCTGTGTGTGCTGGCTGCACATGGCTCCTGCAGGGGAAACGTAGCGGTCACCGCCTTTGGGCACTTTCATTCCGATGTGTTTTTTGTTTGTTTGTTTGTTTGTTTTTTTTTGTCCGTTTTTTTCTTTTCCCAAAGCCGGGGTGGTTTCACTTTCAATACACCGAGTTCGGTTAAAAAAAAAAAGAAAAGAAGAAGAAGTTATCTCTGTTTTTACACGGGACCTTCTTCAATGTGCGGTGGCCCGGCGACGGGTTTACAGACAAAGGAGGGAGGCCTCCATCGGCCCGGCGGCTTTTATTTAGAGTACCCACTCTGCCGCCGGCCGCCAAAATAAAGCCGATAGCAAGGCGCCCCCCTGCCTGCCGCCAGATCAGAGCGCGGACTGAAAGCGACCCCGCCCCGGCTGTGCCGCGCCCCCCGGCGTGCGCTACTCTGGCAGGTTGGCGCAGCGCGCTCCGGCCTGCTGCGCGACTAACGCACGTCCACACAGCGAGGCGCGCTCACAGAGCCCAGTTTCAGGTTTCTCTTATTTTTCCTCTCCCTTCTCGGTTATCTTACTGACATCTTCTACTAATAAACGCTCCCTCTTTGATCTCAGCAATTCAAAAATAGTGCGGAAGATCCCTGGGCCGCATAAAATAAAAAAAGACTCTGTGTGTAGACGGTCCAGACAAATGGGAAACGGTTTGCAGTGAGGTGAAGAGAAAACTTCTTTTTTTTCCCTCTCTGTGTTCTCAGGACGCGCACAGTCAAAGTCAGAAGTTTGGAGACGCGTCTGGCTCAGTGTCTCCAAACTTTTGAGTCGTACTACATGTTTTTAACCGGCTGTCTCTGTGGCTTGAAAACGTTCCTGTCTCTGTCTGCCCCTGTGGATGGCTGGGAAACCTGTCCGTTCACGTGTCTCCCCGCCGCTCCTCCTCTCGGACTCTCTCGGCTTTCCGTTTGTATCGTGGTTTTTCAGTTCCGACGACTCGGTCGCAGACGGTGAATGCGTGTCCCCTCTCTCTCCAGAGGCAGATGTGAGGTCCAGCCGGTGCGTTCCTCCGCCTGCTGGTGCCGGCCGTCCCTCAGCGCCTCGCCGCCGCTCATCCAGGTCACTCAGCTGTATCACAAGAAACCGGAACACTAACCAGGAATTCCCAACTACATTCCATTTTTTGGGGGGGTTTCTTTTCTTTTCTCCACTTCCCTTCACATCTTCCCCCTGCAGCGTTTGGATTGTAACTGCAGTTTGATCACAAAGCTTCAAAGTTTAACCCAATGTCATCTTTGCCCTCAAGATTTTTTGTTTCTTTTCTTTTTTTTTTACCTGCAAAGTTAAGAAGAAACAATTTTATACAAAAAATTGGGCAATTTCACCATGCAGAAGTCATTGGATCGGCTTGTTCGTGATATCTTAAAGCCAAAGTTTGGCTTCTTGACCCAAAAAAAAAAAAAAAAGAAGATAAAAGTAAAAGTTGGATAACTTGAAACTTCCCCGGTTTGAGGACTTTCACATATGTGACAATCTGCTGAAAATGAGTCGTCGGCGCCCGCTAACCAGTTGGCTCAATCAGAGGGTGGGATGTGGCTGCTCCGTTATTGGGGTCGACATTCCCTGATGTTCGGAGTCTTAAGTAGAATTTTTTTGCCACAGACATTGAAACGGCGCTTTGACCATTTCAAAAAAGTCTGCGGCGTTCAATGAGGCTGGTGTCTAAAGGATCCTTTCACCCAGTTTGCAAAAAGAAGGTATAACAAAATGGGCCCTTCTCAACAAACATGAAAACGTGTAGTTTTGGTTTCGCTGCTTGGGGAACTCACAAGATCTACCATTCAACTTCTTATTATTTATGCAATTTAGATAAGTAGGTGTGTTTTAAACTACTTTAGAAGCAGCATATTGTATTTCATACACCTCCTTGTTGATAGGTTTTATTTGAATTTCAAGGAAGTCCAGAGTAAAGTGTTTGATCAGCTTTGTTCCCTGCATGATTAAATGGTCTTCAATTCAAAATCCCAGCAGGTACAACTACATATTAGCAGGAATTTGGGAAAACATTCACAATGTAGCTGAAACTGGCAATAGTTTAGACGAGAAAAAGAGCAGAGAAACCCCATATTGTATCGCAGCGGTGCAAATCTACTTGGAACAAACGGAGAAGAAAAAACTCCAAACTGAGACTGATAAGCCACATTTCTGAAAGAGGGGCCTGTGGGAAGAGTTCACTTCATTAGCACATCTTCGGTTTTATCGAACCAGGGCTGCTAAATGTCGGACGTCACACCATCATGCGAGTATTTTCAAGAAGTGGGCGGCAAAGGCAACTATTACACACAAATCAAGCTTGTCAGCACTATCTTTATAAAGACTGTTCACCGTTAATGAATCACCCACATAAGCCATATTTTGTACCTCAACTACACTTGAGAAAACAGATGTTTTACACGGTGGAACGATGTGCTGATCAGCCGCCGTTTTCCCTCTTTCCAGTCGACGAGGGGTCGAGTTACCACAGCTGATGTACAGTTATCTCCTACTTGGCCCCGGACGGGCCATGTAAAGCACTTTATGGATGAATGGCAACACGCAATGTTTGCTAGGATATTGTTTTTAAGACTTTTGAACAGAAACATGCCTTTTTTGATCGATGCGTGCGTGTTGATTCCTAACTGGATCTAATTTGTTAATATTGGAGTTTGGATCATTTTCTGTGCTCAAATGTAAATTAGCCTCTTGCATAAGTAAGTGCCTTGCAGATTTTTTTTTTGTTAGCTTTTCTTTTGATGTCTGAATAGCTTTATATATTTGTGTTTGACATGAAACATATCCACTATGTCCCTCTCATGGAAATAATGTTTTAAATAACACTCTTATGTATATATTGTTGCTTGGAATAGAGTTTCTTTAGTTAAAATGAGAAGAATAAGAGTCTTAGATCACATACACTTATAGCTGCACTATAAAAAAAACAAATAAGAATGACTAATATATGGTGTCACTTAGGATTTGCCAGTTTTTAAAGGGATAAATCATTGAAAAGATAGATCCGGTATCTGTACTGTACACTATTCCACATGCTAAAGCAGAGCTGTTTATCTGAGAGAAGTATTTGATTCACACTAAATAAAACAGTGTGACATATCGTATGTTTCCTGTTTCCTATTTTTGAGCTGCGCTCTGTTCCAACAGTGACTATAAACCCTCCTAACAAAGCAGGTGCAGACGGCTAAGCTAACCAATCCACCACTTTTTTGCAGCACCAAATCACGTGGTCATTTTCAAGCTCAATGAGTACGATCAAAGAAAATCACATTCATATTAATATTAACAATATCAATTCCACTCCTCTGTGACTATTTATACATGTTTACCTAACTATATATTTAACTGTTAACAGTCTATTTTGTACATATATGTTAGTATATTCATTGTCCTACACTTGCTGTTTTTTTCTATTAAATACAATACAGTATATATATTTTAAACACATTCACACATTCATTTTTTACAAATTCAGTGAATAAATCCAGTTCACACCTGTCCTGCCAATCTGTACAAACTTTACCACTCTCCATGTCTAGTAAGATACTAAACTGCAGTTCATTGTTCACGTACTTATTACTGTGTTCAATGACACTAAAGTTTAATCTAATCTAATAATAGAAGACCTTCTTAAAACGGTGTTTTCACTTGTTTTTAGTCTACGGCTTTTGCCAGAAAACAAAACCCTAATCATTTAACTGCAACCATCATCTGAAAAATTCAAATTCAAATGACCATGTGGAGATCTTCTGGGCCAGTGATGAAAAGAGTATAAACTGTATACTCTTTTCATCACTGGCCCACACATAAGTGTGTTGTGACCGTTTGAAACTGTAGCTCATCTAGAGCTTGTCACAGAGTAACATTCAATTACAGCATTCTCATCCTTCTCCAGAATCCAGTTATGGATGCTCAAATGGAACATCTCCCAGCTTTCATTGTGAGAAACTGAAATGTGAGCTGTCAGACAATTGTCTAAAACTCTTTTCTGTAACTATTTACCCGGGACCAACAGCAATATCAGCACTGCTTTACATAAGTTACAAAAAGGCGTGATGAGCAGCAGACGGCAGCATTATGATGAGCGTGTAGTAGATAACTTAGGCAGATTGAATTTGGGTCCCAAATGTCTTGTTGGCTTCACAAGACACCAAATTCTATTAGACGCGCTGAGCAGTAGACAGTAAACACAGACGGCTGTGAGGTAAAGAAAAGCTTCAAAGCACACAACCGAGTTGTGTTTCGCTAATGCTGAAATGTCACGACTGCTCCGGTGGATGTCATTTGATATTCCCCCAAGAACCACGCACACTCACATTCACTCCTAAGGGAAATTTGGAATGTCCTGTCAACCTAACATGCAGGTTTTGGGACAGTGGGAGGAAGCCGGAGAACCCGGAGAGAACCCACAGACACAGGAGAACATGCAAACTCCACCCAGAAAGGTCCTAGTTCCCCCAGGACTCCAAGCCAGAACCTTCTTGCAGAAAGGTCCTGGTTCCCCCGGCACTCCAACCCAGAACCCTCTGGTCCTGGTTCACCCAGGACTCCAAGCCAGAACCCTCTTGCAGAAAGGTCCTGGTTCCCCCGGCACTCCAACCCAGAACCCTCAGGTCCTGGTTCCCCTGGGGACTCCAACCCAGAACCCTCTGGCAGAAAGGTCCTGGTTCCCCGGGACTCCAACCCAGAAGCCCCTGGTCTTGGTTCCCCTGGGACTCCAACCCAGAACCCTCTGGCAGAAAGGTCCTGGTTCCCCCGGTACTCCAACTTAGAACCCTTTGGCAGAAAGGTCCTGGTTCCCCCGATACTCCAACCCAAAACCCTTTGGCAGAACGGTACTTGTTCCCCTGGTACTCCAACCCGGAACCCTCTGGTCCTGGTTCCCCTGGGGACTCCAACCCAGAACCCTCTGGCAAAAAAGGTTGTGGTTCCCCCGGGACTCCAACACAGAACCCCCTGGTCCTGGTTCCCCCGGGACTCCAACCCACAACCCTCTGGCAGAAAGGTCCTTGTTCCCTCGGGACTCCAACCCAGAACCACCGTGCCGAATATATAATCGAATATGCATTTTTGTCTGGACTGCCTTGTTTATTGTTATTGACACATTCTGCCTTATAGTAGGGTGGTATTACATAATAGCACCGATCGCTGCAGTCACCTGGTGGCATTTTCTTTCAAACCACGGCATGACATGGATTTATTCACCACCAACATTTATACAAGCTGGCATAACTGAATTCAACAGGGACCTGTTATGTAAGAGCTAAGGAGGTGGGAGTCTTTTGTTTGTTGGATAATGTCAGACAGGTCAGGAGAATATCTGATTATTTGACAAAGTGTCTTCTGTCAGTCTGCTGTCAGTTTCAGGAACTGTTGATGTGCGTTGTGTGGCCAGTCATTATCGTTGTCCTTTGTGTTTAAGCACATGAGAACAGCTCCATGTGGCTGTGGTAGTTGGATAAAACACTAATTGACTAGAGGGTGTTAGTGGAGTAGAACACTTGCTTTGACTTTAAACTTTCTGTCCCAGCACGCTACCTTCCACTTTCACTTGCTGTGGGATTTCTTCCTGGACTGCCTGGCTAGGTTTCAGCATCACAGTCCA